AGGAGAGGAGCCCGCGGGAACGCGCGCGCCCGCCCGCCCCCGGCCCAAGGTGAGTCCGCGCTCCCGAGCCGTCCCCCGCCCCTCCGCCGCGCGCGCACGCGCCTCGGAAGCCGGAGCGCGTCGGAGCGCGCCGGAGTGCCCTGGAGCTCCGCGCTCGCTCTGGGGCCTCGCCGGAGGCGGTTTCCTCCTCGCCGGCTTCGCGGGTTTCCTCCTTCGCCAGCTCCTTGCTGCTTCCTCTCGGTCCCTGGGCTCAGAGTCCGCACGCGCCGGCCTGGAGCCGTTTGGACGCCTTCGCGAAGCGGAGCGGACAGTGAGTGGGTCTCCGGGGCCCCATGCGCCTGGTCCTGGAGATGCCGCACTTCTGAGTGGCTGGGTTGCGTTTGAATTCCCGCACGTCTGCAAGTGGCGGAACCCGCATCTCCGAAGCTGCCTTGGTTGAGATTCAGTGTGTTTTATTTTTCCTTCTTGGTAGAACAGCCGTCTCTGGGATTTAAGATCCCGTCTTTCCTGCAGATTGCCAGGGTGCACCTTCCCTGATTGGAATGTATGTGGCTGGATTTTCTTTAGGTTGTCTGGGAATGACAACTTCCTCAGAGTAACTTATTTCTACATCATTTATAATATTTATCTTCTAAAGAGCCATTCCAATAGGTTTCTCCCCCTTTGTCTTGAAATAAGTATACTTACTTGACCATGTAATGGAAATGTACAGAAAAAAAAAAATAGGGGAAGGTTGGGAGGGGTGGTGGATAGACGCGCTTTCTTAAGTTTTCTCTTCTGCAGTTGTCTTCTTAAACGACAGGCTTTTCTTTTTCCCTTTTTTTTTTTTTTTTTTTTTTTTTGCTAGAACTCCATATGGTCCTGGTAGTTGAGGTAAATAGGCTTCCTCAGGCTCCAGGGTTTGTTGTATTACACCACCTCAGGTAAACCCAGAAAATATGAAGGGAATAAGAAAAGTTAACTGCCTTTTGAAAAGTCATTTAGTTCTTATCTTTGGCTTTACTCTAAGTTGTTCTGTATATTATGTAATAGGACTCACCTGGGTTGGCTTTGGCTTGGCATGGAGTCGTTATTTGATAATTCTGACTAGATCATTCAGAAAGTCATTCCTGAGATACATTTTCTTGAAATTAAGAAATTTTATCTTTGATAAGAAATGAAAGTCTAACCGTTGCATTTCTGTTTTCAGTTACATTGGTTATGATTTCTCTGCAGACATCAAGGGTTTAGAAAGAAGTTATGTAATCTTTAAAAAGAAAAGATTACCAATATCCCACAGTAGTGGTTTTCTTGCAAGGAAATAGGTCTGTTAAAGAAGAAATTTAGGACAAGTGTACTTAAAATAAGAATATGAGAGAGATTGAGGGGTTAAAACTGTTTTAAGTCAATTGAAAATGCGGTCAAGATTACGAGAGGTTTTGTTAACATTCTGGAAGCTTTCTTGCTCTTAGAATTTTAAGTCTCCAAGAGACGAAATGCTTAGTGTATTTCTCATGTTCTGATTTTCACTCACAATTCTGAATTATGCTGTACAGATTCTACACTAAAATTTACTTTTTAAGTTAGTCAAGTAATAACTATATGAAGGACTTTTTTTTTTTTTTTTTTTTGGAGAGATTTTCACTGTAGGGCGCGTGCGCTCGCCAGACAGACAGAGAGAGACATAGAGACAGAAAGCGAGAAATCACCCCCCAGGGGGGATGGTCATGCCGCAATCCCTTCTCCTCCATTCTCCTCTCGGGATCTTGGGCATGCATGCACACGCGCCCGGTGTGAGTTTTAAGCCACCGGGTCCGGGACATGAACCGCGGTCGACTACGTGGGAGTTCAGCGACATAGCCATTATGCTAACTACTGGTTCCCATGAAGGACATTTTAACATAATTATTACATCATAAGGTTTTGGTTATGTATTAGTTGATATAGTCACTCTTATAAGTTTATGTTAGAGGGACATTATGTTACTTTGGGGTATTTGTGAGTTTGGAAATCTGAGGGGATTTATATGAACACTAAGTCTCTTTAAAAAAGTAACATTTGCCTTTAATTTTGTTGTTTTGTTTTCAGTTTATTTTTTCCTTACTTTTTTGTAGTGCTACATAGCTGTGGATATAGTGGGTTTTTCCATTCCTTTCTACTCTCTTTATGTAAATAAGAATATGTTTATAGAGCTGGAGGGCTGTGTTGATCTGGGCATTTTAGGTTGAAATGCATATGAGTGAAAAGTGTTTTCACTGAATATTATTAAGGAAATGAACTGTGCACATAATCATGAAAGAACACTTTTTTTGCTGGAGGCCTGTGAAGTCATTCATAAAAGTTGAATTAAAAAAAAAAATCATGTGATTTCCAGCATAAAGTTCAAGTAGTATCTCATTCTATCTTATATAATACTAAAGAGTTGTACCTGTCTGCAATTAATAGTGCTTTTCTTGTCTTTTGAATTTAATAACTATTTATTGTCTATTTAAGTATTTTTAAAAAGAATTCCTTTATTTAACTTTATTTATTTATTTATTTATGCATGCCAGAGAGGGACAGAGTGAGGTGGGGGGGCGGGGGGAGAGAGAGAGAGAGAGAGAGAGGGAGGGAGAAAGAGAAAGAGAAAGAAAGAGGGAAAGTGAGAAAGCAAGCTGCCAGGTTTGGGATTCGAACTGAGGTTGGTTTAGTTAAGGAGTCCTGCACCCTTAACCACCACGCCACTTGCCACCCTGGCTATGTAAGTATTTTATTAACAAACTTTTTCTGCAGATTATATATAAATTCATCTAACTCCAGGAACTGTTTTATGTCCCAGAAAGCCTTCTGCCAAGTCAGCTGGTTATACCTTAGCATTTACAAAGCTCTTTCAAGTTTTTTTAATATATATTTATGTTTAGTTTGATTTTACAGACTTGAAATATTTGAGATAATTAGCCCCATTCTACCGAATGGAAATAATAATAGGAAACTGAAAGCCTGGGTGCCTTAGCTCAGCAGCCCTGGCTTTCAGCAAAATATATACACTGCTGACTCTTGTGTCACCAGGGGACCAATGAAGCCAAGGTGCGATGGTGTGGATCAGCAAGCTCTGGTCAGCAATGTGTTCAGGGAATTGGCTGCGAATGGTCAGTACCATTGGCTGGAGGCAGAAGGCTAGCATATACATGGGTCAGCGTAATTCAAAAGACTGATCGCAAAACAACTCATTTTGTGCCTGCTATCTTGAACAATTCCTCTTTCCCCTTGCAGGCAACAGATTCTTGTGTTTATCTAATTTAGGTGCCTTCCCAGGTTAAGGGACAGTTTTACATTGATTGAACAATGAATGCCTGTAGACCGCTGCGTGATTTTATAATCTCAGTTATGAGAATAGAGTTACAAGAGTAAAGAAGCACCAGTCTTTTTCGTTGTTACTAGCACTCCTTAAACTGGTCACCTACTTGTTTATTTTGCTTACAGGGTCCTGATCTGAGGACAATTGGATGACAGCAGTAGTAATTTGTTTCAAAAGTCCTTGTCCTTTATAGGTCCTTCAGACTACAAAGATGCTTGTTACTTTTTGAAGTTATTATGTTCATTTGTTTGGTTTGTTGAAAGCTCATGAGAAGCTCTCTGTATGTTATGAACATATATATGTGTATACATGTTATGTGTATTTTTATATATAGATGTGTGTGTGTATGTATATATGTATGTGTATATATATATATATATATAGGAACTGTGAAAAGTTTGTGGAAAATGGAATTGAAATTTATTTTGGTGCCAAAAAAATAGAAATCCATGCATAGGTTTTTGGTTTTTTTTTTTGCGTCAGTGGGCATGTGCAGTTGTCTGATGATAGAGAGAATGAGAAAGAGAGAGAGAGAGAGAGAGAGAGAGAGCACCAATGGAGTGTGTTCATACCACAGTCTCTTTCCAGTTCTCCATATTGTCAGAATTTTGGGCTCTCACACATGTGCCTGGCATTCTTTTTTTTTTTTTTCAAACTATGGGGACCATTGGGGATTTGGCCCCCAATGCACGTGGGATCTGGCTCCCAATGCACATTTGTTAACTGCTGCACCATGGGGCTAGCCCATAGATTTTTCATCATACACATTTTTCACATACTTTGTGTGTGTATTGGAGGGGATTCCTTCTAGAATGTTGTGCTATTGTATGGTTACAGTGACTAGTGAAAGCTTTAAAGAGTTTCTAGATTCCAATTTCTTTTTCTAAACTTGAGACCAGCTGAATAAAATACCCCACATAAGCTGAAATGTGTCATTTATCTTTCCAAGTTGACTATATGCTCTTTTTTTTTAGTTTTTTTTTTTTTTTTAAAGTTTCCTTTGTTATAGGGCACATGGGCTTGCCAGAAGCGGGGGACAGAGAGGGAGAGAGAGAGAAGAAAGTGAGCAATTCCCTCCCCCCGCCAAGGGAAATAGCTACACTACAGTCTCTTCTCTTCCATTCTCCTTTCGGGATTTTTAACACACGTGCTCACCCATCCCACCCAGCATTATTTCCAAGTTATCCAATCTAAGACTAGAACCATGAAACTGACCATGTGGAATCCAGTGCCTTAACCTCCCCACCACCTGCTAACCTGACCATATGCTGTTTGGTTCTAAGTGTCTGTAAGCATAGTGAAAGCGAGAGCATGGTTAATAGTCCAGGCTCTGTCACCAGCCAGAGCTGGGTCCTTGGAACAGTCATAACACCCTGGCCTGAACATACTTCATCTGTAAAGGGGTCACACAAATGATGACTTTTGTCATGAAATATTCAAGTTGGACAGGACCTTAGAAGCTGTGTACCCAGTCCTGCCACTATAGTTTACAGACTACCTGTTTCTACCCTCACAAAGGTTTGGCTGTCATACTGTGAAACCAAAACGTCAAACTTAGGCTTTCCATCATTTCATAGAGATGAGATACTTTAAAGCTCTTGGGTGAAAGCTGATTTCTTTCTCAACTTTCCCCCATACAATGTTTCAGTTTTATATGTAGACTAATTGTCCCTTGAATATAAATGTATGTGAGCTATTTGGAGCCTGTTTTTTGTTTTTTTTTTAACTGAGTGAATGTTAAGGCTGGTGTACATTTGAATATTAGCACAGTGATGAATTTGACCTCCTAACTTTTGATATTCTCAGCAGCATTCTCTTGGTTAAGCATGATTATGTAGCGCTTTATATTGATCATTTATTTTTGCTTAGCTTCCAACTATCTTACCATCATGCTTCATAATGCTTCATCTCTAATTTAGTATAAACTATCCACACTTGTTTTTGTTGAAGATGTAACTGTGCATTTATAGAATGATTGACCTCCCAGGTTTTCC